GAGGAGGGGGGAGGGAGAGAGAGAGAGGATGGGGGAGGGAGAGAGAGAGGAGGGGGGAGAGATGTCATCATCTGATACACAGCTAACAGAGAAAGAGAGTATGGTTACATATTGTGTATAATAGGCATGGTTTTTGTCTCCAATTCCTTCTATACTCCTTATTCTTTTCTTTATGTTTTCTCATGTAGGGCCATTGATAGTAAATTAAAAGGTAACTGGTCTCAGTTCTGGCAGAGTAATGTCGGCCATGGTGAGATAATGTGTGTAATTCTGTTAGTGATTCAATCATTAGCTTGTTTCTACAATGATAATAACTATAAAACTTGCAGTCAAAATTGGCTTAAGATTTTTCATGTAGCTAAGGACATGTGTATCAGAAAATGTAATAAAATTTGAGGTAATTTTGGAGCCGTTTTTGGGAAAAAAGCATGGGCTATAGTACATGTTATTTTTTTAAAGCAACCATAACTTAAAATTCAAATACATATACATGTAGTTTTTAAAAGTTAACGTACATGTACTTGGATGATTTAAGATACATACAAGTACATGTACATGTACATGTACTTGTTATTTTACTCAGAGATAGGGTGGCTTAAGATACAATGTATGTTGCATATAAAATAGAAATGAGGCATTCACTAAGGCATATGCACATTTACTGAGACTTACATGATTTGCTAATTCATCTTTATGCTGACCTTAGCATTACATAATGTCTACTGTACAGACGCTGATAATTAATTACTTATCACCGTCTATCTAGACTAGACATTAGACATTATTATTTATTAGACATTATTCATTTGCATAATTATTGCGAATACCATGGACTATAATGTCTCTCGAAAAACTTTGATATCAAAAATTCACTCATAAAAATTTCTACATACATGTACATGTACATGTACAGTAGCATAAAGGCATTGATGCTCTGTCAGTGCCCTATGCTGTTATAATGGAGGGGCCATTTTTTGAAGTTTAGACAAAAATTAATATCAATCTCTCTCTCTCTCTCTTTGTTGATTAGGGGCAGGTTTTTACGAAGCCTATAGCAGATTTGAGAATTTAAAATTACAATCGTACATTGGTGAGCCTTACTCCTTTTCCCTCTCTGCCTCCTGACCCTCTCCTTCTTTACAGGGCACAGGTCAACCATTAAGTGTCTCCATGTTCAAGACAGTGAGCATATATTTATCAGTGGCAGTAAAGACCGCACGGTTAAGATATGGTCGCTTCACAATCAAGGTGATGGTAGCTTTAATTGTGGGTACAGGCAGTCGTATAACATGCACCAGAGACCTGTCTCTAATGTCACTGTCTTTGATAGCCTTCAAGCTATATCATGTGATGGGAGCGTTCATGTAAGTAGAGAGAGAAGTACATACATGTACATGTATGTGCATGCACTGAAAAGCACCTGCTGCTTCATGGGAAAACAATTACATGTACTATAAAAATGTTGATTCAGCAGGATCAACCCATGGCCCCTTAGGAGGGCCTTGGAAGGAGCTAGGAGGTTGCAGTTGGTCTATGTTTTTATTTAAGTGGTGGGATTGATGTTATAGTGTGGTGGTTTACAGTCAGTGAGGTGGTTCCTGGCAATTTAAAGTACTCCCAGCTCTTCCAATGCCCTCCCTTCTAATGCCTTAAGGTTGATAAGGCCCTTCCTTCCACTTTACTAATTTCTTTGTTTTAGTTGTGGGATATGGAGACCTCCTATTGTCTACAACAGTTTGTATCTCCTCGACCAAACACCCAATTCCTCGCCATGGAGACACTGAAGGACACTCCCTCTACTGCTGTTGTAGCAACAGGAGATTTTTACTTGAGGTGAAGGCTAATTTAAAATAATGATAATAATAATTATTAATGGTTTTATTTCTTTAAAGGTTTATTGATATCAGAGCCCGTAACATGCAGCACCTGTGGAAGACACACTTTGCCACTGCTGGTATCTTATTCGTTCATAGAGTCATTTTTGTCATTTCCCTCTTCCTCCCTCCCTCCCTCCCTCCCCCTCTCTTTTTCCCTCTCTCTCCCTCCCTCCCTCTCTCTCTCTCTCTCTCTCCCCTTCTCCCTCTCTCCCTTCTCTCCCCTTCTCCCCCCCTCTCTCTCTCTTTCAGGTAGTATTAGATTCCTGGCCCATCATAGCACTACACTAGTTGTAGGTAATACTAATGGTACATTGAACACCATTGACATAAGAACTGGGGAATTGCTGGGCTGCTGGAAACCAACTGACAAATGGCCTCTACCAGTGAGTCATTCCCTAACATACAATGTACTACATTCTCTTAATCAATATTACATGTACATGTATATACTGTATTGTACTCCACTAATAGTAGTTTCCTCTTAATAGCTCTTGTTCTATTAATAGAACTTCAATAAATAGGATTTTATGCATTAACACTTCATTAGTAGTGCATTGTGTTATTATTGCATCGAGCAAAGTTCCATTCTTTGTTAAAAGCACATTTTTGGCGGCTTATTATAAAGTTTAGCAGGCAGTCTTAAGTTCAATGGACTGCTTCTTTGTTTGCATTCATAGCATCATTATAAAGAATCCTAAGATGTATGTGTATGTATACACGTATCATTTCACAGTACAGTAATACAGTTATGGCAATGGTATCACTGTCATGTCCTATGTATGTCTTTACTGTCAATCTCTCTGTCTACATGTACAACAGATAGCATTTGTCCAAAGGATTTGTTTATCTGTTGACATATTTAAGTTCATTATTAAATTTGAAATACATACCAGCAAGGGAAACTCCCATTCATTATTTATACTAATGTCTCTCCCTCTCTCTCTCTCTCTCTAGCCCACCACTTGGAATGAGAATCTATTTCAGTTAAAGTTTACTGAGCGTGGTAATATACTAACCAGTGCTGGCCCTGGCCTCATATCACTCTGGAAACCAAACGGCCGTGACCTAAACCACTACAGAGGTTAGCCTATATCAGTTTAGAATTATCGTGATTGTTTTTATAATTATTTTCTTAATGATCAACTCAATTATTCCACAATCAATTGTGTCCATGATATTGTACAATTGTTCCAAAAAATCACTAAATAAAGTCTATTAACATTGTTTATATTACTTGTACCACATTGGCTACTTCGCCTTCATTGTCTTGAATCTAAAGGTTCTTTTGACTTCTAAATATTTTCAGAGGCCACATCTTTTTCTTTCCAGTGCTCTGCTTGGCAGGTGAAGCCTCGTCAAGTGAACTCATGGACTTTGATGGCTGGACACTTATCTTCTGCTTCCCTTTAGCCCTTCCAGAATGAGTAGAAGCTCCATCAGTTTTATTAATGTTACCAATAGACTCAGCTTTGACACTTAGCCTGGCAGAGCTAGTGACCAGAGGAGGTGGAGGGGATCGTACAGGAGCTGAGACCTTCCTTGATTTTGAAGAGACAAACTCGGGAGAGATAACAGCCTCTACTGATACAATATCCTCTGGTAATTCATCCGACACACCTAGAAGGAAAAGAAAATGTTTTGAATAACTTCACGTATCTTGATTCTTTGTTGACATTTTTGCTACATTCTACCTAGCAAAGCATGAAAGCTGTACTATAATAGGTTGTTCCTACATGTACATGTACATTGTGTCGTCTTGTTATATTGCCCATGCACCTGTTGTCTGATAATTATCATTTGACCCTAACCGGTAAAAGGAAATAATAGGTTTGTCACAAATTGTGTTGATGGGGACATAAACACCTCAGCATTTTGTCAGCACTTTTGCATGTACCTGTGTAGACTTGATGAATGCATGGAGTTATTTCCCTACATATTGTAACTTCCTCAGTCATCTTTTAATTAAAATATAGCTCTCTTAAGGAGGATATAATGTCTATGCACTACCGCCATAAGTATAATAAGTGGATATGACTATCATTGCATCCTGCAATCAGTACATGTTTACATGTGGCAATGCAGCTGAAACTTGCTGGTGTATTCATCCGTGACATATCAGCTATTTCTAGCAGATACACTTCTTGTACCTATCATAGCTATCTTGTATAAGTGCCGCCTGATACTCCATGTACATGTACATGTAGCTACATTGTATGTGTGCATGTAAGTACATGTAGTCTTACCTGTCGGGGATTGTATTTCATCATCCAAGTCAGACTCATCAATGGACAGTGAAATCTTGTACCCAGTGCCCTCTGGCTGTGTGTTGCATCTCTGGAAAGCAACGGGCGGGGCTCCCTCATGAAAGCCTTCAGAGTAGTACCTCTTATGACGCTGGGCTGGGTTTCTTTGGTGGGTGGTACCCTTGTATAAGAGGACGTCCTCTTCCTCCTCCTCCTCTCTTGATTGGTTTCTTGTTTCCCTGGCTAGGAGCTTCAGTACATCTAAGGTTTCTTTGGTGCAGTTGTCTGCTTGCTGGAGCTGCTTGTCCAAGTATGGATAGCTTCCACCTAGCCTCTCCCTCAGAAACTCTATTTGCTTTTTCAATGCTTTGGCAGTCATTGTTGTTGTACGGATGGATAAGTGAATGCTCCTTGCGTCTGGATCAAGATGTTGGCTAGGACTGGGCTGTGGGACGCTGTCAAACTGTTCCAATTTAAACAAGGTCCTCTCCGACCTGTTGTCACGATCTTTTGGTGGCATCGAGCCCCAAATCCTGTGCTCATTTTTTCGAGAAGCACTTTGAGGTTGGATGTACTTTTGCCTTGGATCATTAACCTGATGCATATCTGATTCCATGGAAACGTGGACCTCCATGGAATCTAAATCAGATTGTGGAGGAGGTGAAGAAAAGGAAGGAGGTGAGTGTATGATTGGTCTATTAGGCATGTAAGACCCCCCAGTAGTGTACTGCTGGGTGACAGGAATAGTACCGGTAATGCTGGTCGTCTTGTATGGTGCTGATAGCCACATGCTTGATGGATATCGGTCGCTGGAGGATCGTACAACGTTACGGCGTCTTTGGTTGTAGCTCCTTCTTGCATCAACACGCCCAAACTGCTCGTAGTCTTCTTCTTCCTCATCAATTTTATCTGAAATATTAGCACAGGTCTCTTCTGTAGGTTTCTTCATGACTCTATTCCTGTGTCTATCTATAATAAAGATTATAATAAATAATATTATAATGATGATTATTTAAATGATAACAATACAAGAGTACAAGAATTGAAAAGCTTGCTGCTATGCTCAGTGTAAAACAGTTTTGCTTATCATTATTGCAGGCTGTGCATGCTTAAAAGAAAAAGGTTGTTTTTATAAAAGACAGCCTACTTTCAAATGCATCTATTTTCCTCTTCAAGTCCATTCTTCCTATCTCTTCCAGTGAAGTGGCAAGTGGTCCAAGAGAGTCCGGGGATATAATGTTTCGTCCTTCTATGAAGCTAAGGACTCGAGCAGCATAGCTTGTCTCCTTGGTGGCCCCCACTTCGCTGTACCACTTAGGCAAATCAAACATATATGCGAGAGCTATAACGTCTGCTTTTTGCATCTCCTCAGCGATCCCTGCCAGCAGTTTCTTGTAGTCTTTGTAGAGCTCGGCGTCCTTAGACCTCGGTGTAGTAGGCCAGTACATCTCGTCTCCTTGCTCGCTTTGGTGATGCGTAGCCATCGTTCTCCCCTAAGCAAAGTATGTGGAGGACAGGAGAAAGAATGCTGTGCATGACTTGAATGCAGCCATTTTATGCACTGTCCTCCCACACGTAATTATTGCGCAATGCATGATGTTAGTAGAAAAATTTTAGCAATTTTTGCTTTCTTTAGGTCAAAACTCTCACACATCATGTCTTGAGATGTTTGGAGAAGAACTGGTGACAATTTCAAACAATGGTCAGGTACTTGTTCATGGGTCATTCGAATTTTTGGTAAGTTGTGCAACTTTTAATTTATGCAGTGGGGGACAACTAGTTCTTATAAAATTAAAATTTCAGTAATTACTGGTGTCATTATACTACCACAAATGGTCTAAGCATCCTAAGAGTTTATTTAACTTTGCATTCTTCAGGAAATGCCCTAAGCTTTGGTGTAAATTTCATTGTTTTCTTGGAATGTCTTCTTGTCAATGTAGTTGTGCATAACAAGATTAGACCACATGGAGTTATTTGCCATTCATGCAAAAATTTTCATGCATTAGTTTGATCAAAAAAGGAGAAGTACAGGTCATTCATTAAGTAGGGGGAAAGTAAGGGGAAATCACTGCTTGCACGCTGCTATCATTGGAATTTAAATTGTCTGTAGCAGCCAGTCAGTTACCATGGCTATAACCAATAACCTATAGCCTTTAACCTATAACCTAGCTATAACCTTTATAGCCAGTAGGACACTCTCCTCTAATTATTATCTACTCTTGCTATAACGGATCTATCACCAAATTAAATTATATATTTTATTATTTTTATCTAGAGAGATAATATTATTCATTCTACCAAAATAAAACCAAAGGAAATTCGTGGGAGTATAACTTCCTCTGCTAGCCTGCCACAGAATCAATTGCTTCTGCTGGGCAGTGACAGCGGGCAGCTAGTACTGATGGCTTAGTGTACTGGAATATACAGAGAGTTACAAACACATACAAGTTTGCAGGTTTTTGTGTATTATAGAAAATTAATTATAATTTTATATTGATCTGAACTATAATTATGTAAGTGTCTCAAATTTCAAAATTAAAAATTATTATAAATACTAAAGGAATTACAAAATAATGTTTACTTATTTTTAATATTGATAATAATAATAATAATAATAATAATAATAGAGACGGGTTACGTTACTTAATTTTACTGTCACAGCACAAGTAATAAAAATTTTAATAACGATAAATGATTATCATTATTAATCAGTTAGTGGCATTTGAATAATCATCGTTATGGTTGTTTTTGTTAGATCTCAGAGCTGTTGTTTCATGCGATAATTGGCTTGGGCAATATGAACTTCATTGACAGCTGCCTTCTTGTTGATGTGCTCAAGCTGTACATTCTGTCGGTCTAACTCATCGCCCATATCAACTGCTATACCATGAAGATTATCAAGAATATTACCTACAGCTCTGAATGAGAGAGAGAGAGAGAAAGGGGGAGGGAGAGAGAGGGGAGAGAGGGGGGGAACAAGAGAGAGGGGGGAAACAAGAGAGAGGGGGGAGAGAGGGAGGGAGGGAGAGAGAGAGAGGGGCAGATGGAGGGAGAGGAGAGAGAAAATGTTAAGAACAGTCTCCTGGGAGAATTCTGCTTATACATGTAGCTCAAGTTGCAAACACTACAGGACAGCACTGTATTGTGAATCGGTTTCAGTTAAGTACATGCTCAATGGCAGGAAAATAAACTGTGAGCAGACAATCTTGTTCTCTCTTTCTCTCTCCTCACAATCCTTGTAATAGTGATAATGTTTACACACGTCATAACAAAACGGAAATAATTCCTAGCATCCAAGTGAGCACAAGCTCTTAACATAACAGATACCAAACAAAGTGAATCGTGTCATGAGTGAGAACACTAACTGAAGGTTCTGATCCATTTCATCTTCTCTCTCATCTCCAGTGACTCTCTTGATGTATCCTCCCTCTCCTCCTCCTCCTCCTCCTCTTGGTGCATCAGTCCTTGGCTGACTGGTGACCACAGGGTCCTTAGCCTTCTTCCCATAAGTCCTCTGGTAGTCTTTTGATTTCTGGAAAGAGGAGGACAGAGAGAATAGTATAATAATAGTATAGTCCAGCCAATACTTATTGTACCATTATTCAATCACTCTACACACTATAGTCTCTGGCAATTATATATGGGTAGTACATTATATGCTGCATGCTTTTAGTAGTGTTACTGTACAATGTATGTGAATAAAACTATTGAGTAGTTTTTAGCTCTATACTGCATACTAAATCATGTATTATTTTATTGACTATACACTAATGAGTACATTGTTGTAATCATTAAGTGAAGTGGATGCCAAGTGGCCAGTTGTTAAATGAAGCAGCCAACCTATCATTAGATTAGCTCGAAGGAGGATACAATTAGTGTGACAACCTGTGTGCATAGCATGGAGTAATTAATGCTTACAAATATCTGCTCTTATAGTAACAGCTAATTCAAATATTTACATATGAAAAACAAATTAGAAACAATATTTGATTAGATGTAAGAATACAGGTACATCTAGCAGGATACAGATGTGTTTGTATTATTATATATAATGTACAGGAAGGATAATTATGTTGTTTTTCTTTCCTTCTTACTTCCCCATTAAATCTACATTTACATTCTTTTCTAAAGACCACAAGTCTTGAATTTTTTGTCCCTCCCCCTCCTCCTCTCTCTCTCTCCCTTTCCCTTACAGTCACACTCCTGGGTCCACCAGGGCACGAGCAGCAACCACAGACTTTCTCTATCTCTTTCAAATTCTTGTCGGCTCTTTTGAGATCAACGTTCATCTCATCCAGCCTCCTCTCAACATTGTCAAGCTTCTCTCCTACAAAATACAAGTACATGCAAAATGACACTCGATACAAAGCAAAAAGCTTATCAAATACACATATTTATACGAGAGAAGAATGGATAGCAAAGGAGTGGGCAGTAAAGATGCTGACCTTGTTCATTCAAGGTCACTAGAGTGTCCACTCCGATTTGGTTGGTATCAACGGCCATGTTAAGCATCCTCCGGGTGGATTCCAGGGTCTCATCGGTCACTTCATCTATCCTCTGATCCAAGCGTCGTACCTCGTCCTCTCCTGCAGACATTTTGTGCTTCTTTCTCTCTCTTCTAGTCTTTCCTCAACCTCCTTATTCCTTAAAAGCTGCTTTAGTATACGAAAAATATCCAGAAAAGTCTACAAAACGCGAGATCACGTGATCAACAAATCCGAGTCAAAATGGCGGATAAGTCAGTCGTCAATTTTTATCTCTTTGGTCTACAGGAAAGTGGTTCTATTTCTTTTAATGGAGGCCAAGACACTTCAGTATCTTGCATTTTGACACATTTAGGCTACAACGTGGATAATGTAAGAGTTATGTTATTTGTATCACTTTAAATCAAAGCTTCCTTAAAACTCCCTTTTAAAATTATGTATGTATAAACACAATGCATGAAATTTGAGTCTATATTTTTTTATATTATGTAAAATCAGCATAGAAACTTTAAGCTCATTTTCGATCAAAATTCAATTCTTAGAAAATTTAAAGTTGCTTCAAACTTTCACTAAGACCATAGGCTAGTACAGGGACTTTGGTCAAATTTTGTAAAAATTAATGGTTCTGAGCAATTTTTCACTTTATTTATCTTTCCTCGTATATGTTTTTATGTTGCATAGAAAGTTTGAGCTGATTCTGATCAAAATTGGATTTTTTATGAATTTTTAAAGTTGCTCCAAAATCGGGTCAAAGTCCCTGTACAGGGCCATTGGCCAAATTTCGCCAAAAATGACTAGGAGAGAATTCTTCATTTTTATAATTTTTTCTGATACATATACATGTTCTTATGTTATGTAGAAAGTTTGAACTGATTCCGATCAAAATTGTATTTTTATATGAATTTTTAAAGTTGCTCCAAAATCGGGTCAAAGTCCCTGTACTATAGTACGGGCCATTAGCCAAATTTTGCCAAAAATGGCTAAGAGAAAATTCTTCATTTTTATGATATTTTCAGATGCATATACATGTCCTTATGCTGCATAGAAAGTTTGAGCTGATTCCGATCAGAATTGAATTTTTTACGAATTTTTAAAGTTACTAAAAAATTGGGTTATACATAGTACATGGACTATAACACATTAACTTTATTCCATAGTAATAGTAGCAATTTCCTAATACATGCTGTACATGTACATGTACATGTACATGTACATGTAACTTTGTAATGTACATGCAGTTGACCTTTTGTCTGCTTATAACTGCATTTATCATAATTTTTTTTTATTTTTTTGCTTCATTTTTATTTTTTAGTATTATTTTGCTCACAATGGTTACCCTGTACAGGATCTGTCCCTACCTCTCTCACTAGATCAAGAAGAGAAAGACAATGGCATAGCCATCATTAGAGCCTCGCCACGTCTTTTAGGAGGGAAAGGAGGTAATTAAGTTCAACTCATATAATAATAATAATTATTATTATTATTATTATTTTCATGAATTTATTTTTAACATTATTTTTAGGATTTGGTGCCCTAATTCGTGCTATGGGTATGCGTGTGAATAAGAACAGAACACGAGATGCTAGCAGAGATCTCAGTGGAAGAAGAATAAGAGATGTTAATGCTGAGAAACAGTAAGAGAAAGGAAAAACATACTTATTTACTTATGCATACATAAGGCCTTTCCAATAAGATTCATAGTTTCCCATTACAGAGGCGGGCCTGATGCGGGTGGGCGGGTTTGTTCATTTTCATTAAATTTATTTATTATCAGTGGTATAAATTGCTTGTATAATCAATGCAAAACTGCAATAAGGAATAGCGATGCGGCACCATGCAGGCGGGTAATGGGAAACAAGGAATCAAATTGGAGTGGCCTAATATTCTCTTTTGAGAATACTTATACATGTACTTGTACGTAGATGCACAATATTCTCTTTTTCTCTTTTTTCTTTCTCAAGGCTGGCAGAGTGGGCAAAGAAGGAGCCAGAGAGACAGAAGAAGAAAGAAGAAGAGAAAGCAAAGAAGAGGAAGATGCTACTAGAGGGCCCCAAGCATTTCTTTAATGACCCAGAATACATGCAGCAGCTTGAGGACAATGAAGTTAATCTAGATGAAGCTGTTAGACAAGGTTTAAATGGAGGAGCTGGTTGTAGTAGTAATGGGTCGCGTAAAAGAGAGAGAGAAGGGAAGACAAAAGAAAAGAAGAAAATGCTAACGTAAGTAGTGATGATGATGATGACAATAGCAATAATAGTACAACCAGGGCTTCCCACAAAGCATGCTAAGTGAGCTAAACAGCATGAGCTTCATGAGCTGACAAGCACTACAATACAGTACATGGCATTTGGAGCAGCGTTAAAAATTCAAATTTGATCAGAATCAGCTCAAACTTTCTACACAACTTATGTACATGTATATGTATCAGGAAAAAATTTTTAAATGGAGAATTCTCTCCTTTTTAATTTTGACGAAATTTAGCAAAGTTTAGCCCATTTTTGAGCAACATATTAGTTTATTAAGTTCTTTTAATAGGCTAGGGATTGAGGAGCTGTCTTCGGACGACTCTGAGACTGAAAATGAGGAAGAGGAGGAGGAGGGAGAGAAAGAGGAAACAGTTCCAGTTAAGAAGCTTAAAATGACCATCAACGAGAATGAGGAACTTCCTAAACTAACTGATTATACTAACAAAGCCACTCCCATTACTCCACCCACTTCTAATACAACCGATGAACTCGTATCAGTTACACAAACATCAACTAGTAACTGCCAATCCATTTCCACCAACACCCAAGCAACAACAACAGAAACACCACCACCAGCAACCACTTCAACAGATACATGTACTCCTTCATCTCCTCCTCCTCAAATAATGTCAGATCAGGGACAGCCTCGGGTTGGTGACACTAATGGTGCTGAAATTGACCAAGAAACAATTGACAGGTTTGATTTGGATAAGTTTGAAAGCATCCAGGAATTAGAGGCAGTTGGTCCTCACCTCCTGAAGGCCGTGTTGCAGAAACTGGGTCTTAAGTGTGGCGGAACGCTTAGTGAGAGAGCTCATAGACTATACTCTGTGAAAGGATTAACAGTCGATCAGATCGATCCGTCTCTATTCGCTGGAAAAACAAACGGAAAGAGAAAGAACAAAGGAAAGGGAAAGAACACTAATAAATGAAGAAGTGTCTCTCCTTTTCTCATCAGTTGTATTGTTACTGTCACCAATTATTGTTAATTGGATTTTATGGTTTAATATAATTTTAATTTATGTCTCTAAAGTGGCTTTGTGTAAAATTTAAAAAGCAGGAGATGGATGTCAATGTTTTTATAAATACTAAAACAACATGTATATGTAGTTGCGTCAATGTCACATGGATGCATTCAAGAATTCTAACAGCTTCTTTCTGTTGATGTCTCTCGCCTTGTCATCTTTTGATTTCTTTACTTTCATCTTTATAACCCGACCAGACACAGCACTCCTGCCTTTCTCTTCTTTAACAAACTAAATACAATGACAATTAGATGTAACACAGGTAAGTGGATGTGATCATTGCAATTACCCACACCTTTGATAGTTGGACAGGTCCTTTTTCCGAGTGTTTCCTTTTCTTCTTCTTTTCTTTCTTTGCCTTCTTCTTGCTCTTCCCTTTCTCCTTCTATCAGTACCTCAGCCGTAGGCAAACACAGGGAGATTGACGCCATTGATAGTAGTGAGAGATGAAACGATAAAGGCATCCCTCAGAGGAGAGAGGGGATAGTAAAATGGGAACTATAAAGCTCCGTCTTACCTTATGATCTGAGGACGAAGAATGTCTTGACTGTTTGCTATGGGTTTTACCTAATAATAAGTGATTGATTAAATTAATTAACTACCAATATTGTATTAATTAGAAGGGTGTGGTTAACAGTAAGTGTAATTATATTCAGCTCACTCTCTTCGCTAGACGAGTCTCTTTCACTTTCTGAGGAGGAATAGGAAGAGGCAGACTCGGGGGAGGGAGGGGATGAAGATCTATTGGATCTTCTTCTTGACTTCTTTCCTTTGCTGGAGGGCTCAGTGGCCGAGTGCTTCTTGTGAGGAGATCTTGAGCGGTCCCTGTATCCCTCTATAGATTTGAATGCATAGGTGAGACACTATTATAGGCATTAGTGATAAACCTCTTTCTTTCTCTCGCTCTTTCTTGTAGTCGGCCATTTTGTCCCGGCTTTGTTTACTGCGCATGCGCAGACACGTGGTAGATCTAAAATCAAAATAAAAAATTAATTATTGAAAATCTGAAATAGCCAGTGAATTTAAAAAGAATGATAGGAGAAGAGGAGTCATTGAAGGCCTCGAAAAGCTGCAGTACAGGCCAATCCTCGTCTAGGAGTGGTCTACTGACTATGGATCAGAAGCATAGCAGCTCTGACATATTCATATCTATCAGTGGCTTGATAGGAGCAGGGAAATCAACACTTGCTACTAAACTGGCTGAAAAAATGGGGCTGCCTTGCTTCTACGAGCCTGTCATGGATAACGAGTATTTGGCTGATTTCTACAAAGACCCAGCCAGATATAGCTTCCCTTTACAAGTAAAAAAGCTGTTGCTGGTCACGACCACACCCATTTTAATATTAATTTTTTTATTTTTCCCTCTCTTTCTTCTTTACACAGATTTATCTGTTGAATCGTCGCTTCCAGCAGCACCAGTCTATAATCTGGCAGGGACAAGGAGGAGTCCAGGACAGGACAATATACGAAGACTCTGTCTTTGCACGAGTGAGGGGAGGGGCTGGGGTGTAGTCAATAAAGATTATTATTTTTTCTCGTGATTGTGCTTGACAGGTTTTGATGGAGTCTAATTTAATGGAGGAAAGGGAATATCGCACTTACCTGTCACTTTTCAGCAACATGTCGAATTTTATGTAAATTGAAATAATAATAATAATAATGTCTTTAACTCTCTCTTTTAGGAAGAAGCCAAACCTTATTGTTCATTTGGATGTTTCTCCTGAGGAGAGTCTGAGGCGTATAAAGAATCGAAGTCGTGACTGCGAATCCTCAATTACTTTGGAATACCTACAGAACCTTCACAAAGCCTATGAGGTCTTTATTGCTGATATCGCTCGCATTATCCCAGTCATAAGAGTTAATTACGAGCGCTTTAGAACCACTGAAGAAATGGCTGATATGATAGTTAGGTAGGGCAGCATAATTTGTAGTCACTCTAAGTTTTTTTGATTGTGTAGAGAGTATTCCAAAATGTGTTCCATTCGTTATGTGGATTTTAAAGATAAGACCCCAGATCCTGAGAAGAGGGTTTTAAAAGATGCCAAACCTCTCCGTAATGTGTCAAACGACATTGAGAACACACCAGTGAATTAATAGTGGACATTTTTGAAACTCATTAGGATTAAATATATTTTAGAAATACATGAGTTTAGCATTTTACTTCAAAAAAGTTTATATAAATGTACAATATAGTATATCACTGGTGCATCAATTTTGTATCCAAAAGGAATTGCACTTTAGTTGTTTGCATTATTCTCTATGTTAACTTCCAGCACATTGCTCCACCTAATCATTCAATCACTTGACTATCACATGATGAGAGAATATATTTACCTTGTGTAACTGTATTCATTCCCGAATTCAAAGCAATGAGTGCTGGTTGTACTTATCACTTTGATTGAGAATTCGTCATCATTTCCCTATTAATATTCATTATTTATGTACAGCCATTATGAATTACCTTCTCTATCCTACATGAATCTAGAGGTAATGCAAAGAGAATCTCATCCATCTAGAAACAAAATAAATGTATAAATAGATGAAACATCACACCTACCATGTGATTAGTATATCCCACTAGGAAGGAGTGATTGAGTACAAACCATTTTGTCTCCCATTCACTATTAGTAGTACTGCCATTGGTAGAGTAACAGTGTTTCAGATAATCACTCAACCCAGTATCAATAATAGTACCCAGCAGTGATATCTAGCAATAGTAATGATAAATAGATAACTCTTGATAGTATAGTCATGCCATAATTGCCACTAGATCATAAGTACCTCATTAAAGTCCTCAAATTCCATTGCAATGTTCATCGGAGCAGCATCTGGTGCATCTACTTCTTCAATAGGTTCACTAGTAGTAGGTGTGCTCTTATGTACTTCAAGTTTACGTGGTGAGCGTGTCCACCGAGAGCGTAATGCCGGGTCCTTAAGCATTTCCTTGTAGACCCCTACATCAAATGAATCATGATCAATGAACATGCACATGCAATAACCAAGTTCTCAAAAATTAATTTTTTTGCTTACGTTTTGAGAATGAGTCAGTCAGTGATTGCGTTTTTCTTGCATATTTAAATGAGCTACACCTTTCAATCTCCCTATCCACTCCAATCCTAATACACTATAGTATAAGAGAGAAAGGAGAAGTATATTATGTAAAATGATTATTTAATGTGAACCGCTTACAGAGACAAATTTGTCTCGTTCTCTTTCATTCCTGGATTGAATAGAGAGATGAGGAAGATGGAGGTAATAAGAATATTGTACAATGTTTATTTTACCTAGCACAGAGTCTGAAAGGTTTAGATATTGCTGGAGTGAAAAGGCAGAAGCTGTTCTCAGTAACACGTGAATGCATTGAAGATATCTGCACAATAAAGAGAGCAAAATGAGGAGTAGAGTATTAAAAGGATGTGTATACTTGAAGAGTCTCCAAAGGTAATTTGTACTTTATCTTAAACTTCATTTTTCTTGTGATGCTGGTCAATATAGCAGTATCTGAAAACTAGAAAAGAGTAAGTTATGAATGCTGCACTGTGTTTGAGGTAATTCATGTACCACAAACAAGACTAGCTGCTTTCTTTTATTTAGTTTTCTTCCTGACACCATTTCAACAGGTCCTCTTAGCAGGAATCTCTATTATAAAGAAATGCCAAAGTATACATATAGTTCTATGTACATGTACTCAGTTCTTTCACTCACCCTCCCTGGTATAACTAGTGTCTCTTTGGTGTCAAACATCTTTTGGAATTTGACTACAATTGCTTGTTGCTCCTGGCATGAAGGAAGGAAAAACAAAGTAAGTATGAGTGTGTGTCTTGCTATACCAAATCTTTGATTCTATTGTTAAGGTGCTTAGCAACATCTGATATAGCCTTCAGAGCACCTGTAAACAAGGTAGTAATGAACCTTTGTCCCTCTCTCTCTCTCTCTCTCTCTATACTTTTAGTATGTTCAATGTCATTGTGATCCTTGGGTAGCAGCTTCTCATAGTCTACCAAAAAGGTAACGAGAGTATTTGTGCGAATATTATTGAATAAATAATATACCTTCAAGGAGTAGTTTGTATCTGGGTATTCTTTGTATTGGATATAGCATGTAACTGGATAAAGGGAGACCTTTGCACATTGTTGTACTACTCTGTATAGAAGAAATAATAACAGCAATATAACTATTGGTATGGTAAAATAATTGTACCTCAATCATGTGTACTAATTCTGCAAAAGGTTTGTAACGTTTCATGGCCTCAGCAAAAGCAATCTGAGCATCATCAAACCTTGATGTATACATTGAGTATAACTACAGGTGATACAATAATGATAACTATTTAATTTGATTTATTTTTACTTTGAAGAATGGAGCTCTGGTGGCTAATACATCTGCTACGACACTCTCCTCATTCCTATAAATATAATAATAATAATAATAATAGAGATATTGTCGCGATGATATTACCAGTTCTCCATTCTGTTCTCAAGCTCGTTTAGAAGGTCAAGATTTAAAGCATGTATTTCACCAACGTTAAGAAATATTCTCTTCCTATAGAACTCTGGTAAGATTGGTTTCTTAGTCTTGTGTGCAGTTTTCACCGAACCATGCAGAACCTATTGGATATAAATGTTGACTTAATATACACTATACAAATTTCATGAAACCTTTTCTAACAAACGAATCCCTTGAATGTACCTAAAGGATGAGATACCTTTGAAAGTTTAAAGCATGAGTATGTCACAGTGAGTAAGTACACGTATGGGTCAGTAGTTACTATACAGGTTTGCTTTTATTGGAATGTAAATGAAATGAATGTATAGTATTTCACTGCATTCTTGCAATGATTATGTTTCAGGCATGTTTGTGTGTTTTACATAGACATTTGCTATTTTATGTCAAAGTTCATTCTCACGTTCTTTCTGATGTCAGCAGCTCTTGGGCTTTGAAGTAGTGTCGAGGTAGGGAAGACTTTATAAAAATAAAGGAAATCATTTTCACACAAAATAACTTTACCGACTGACCTTATCAACAGGAGTTGATCCTGTCACAACATTACTCTCTTTTTGCCTCTCCACTCTCCTATCAAGAGTTGTGGTCGGAGTAGAAGAGGCACTTCCTCCTTCCATTTCAGTCAACAAGAGAACCTCAGAGTCTCTCTGGTGCTCATCAGTCTCTGAGTCTTCTATATCATCGTATGGCGTGAGTTGGGATAGGAGGAGCTCGATTGCAGTCTCGCAGTCCTCAGAAGTGGCGGAGAGACGAGTGACATCGTCAGGAGAAGAGGTAGAGGGCTTTGAGGAATTGCATAACTCCTGCCAATGACCCTGTTTGTAAAATGGATTATTTGTTTTATGTAAAGGCCATTATCATTTTATACTATTCTTTATGGTCATTTGCAACTTTACATGCTAACTGCTCCATTAATAGCACTTGCAATATACAAGACAGCTCATATAACCTTTCATACCTGTGGTTTTGATGTAGAGCCCTCATCGTCACTGCTGTCATCTGCGTCTGTTGTCTCAGTCTCGCTCTCCTCCGTGTCAGAGTCGCTGAAGTGCCATTCGTCTATTTCTATGAATCTTTGTAAGACCTCCTCCGTCAGTGAGCCAATGTTACACTCTAAACTCTCTTCCAGATCTCTTTCTGTGCTCATATCGACCATGGACCAGATTTCTCTTTATTAATTGAAAACCACGCCTATTAAGAAAAGCAGCTGCTGACTCAACGCCCACGTGTTTGCACAAAGGGTGGAAAATGATGCACAGAAGAGGTGGAATGAGGGTTTTTGGTGCAACTCTGATACTCTTTATCATCTCTTTTAGTCTTCTCATTGCTTGGGAGGTGGCTAATCTTGATAATCCCTCCACTGCAGCAGTTAAATCTACTAGAAGTGAGGATAACAGCAAGGCTAACCTCACCAGCACACTGGCAGAGTTGCTTTTGAAAGTAACTACACCTCTTAACCGCCCTCCACTGGTGAGGTTTGATTGGTACTCTCGCAAACAGACTCCAGTACACTTTGGGTGAGCTCAAGATAGCATACACAGACAGAAAAAGCATATCTTTCAACCTACCCTTTCTCTATATTGTAGATATGCAGGACAGACTGCTATGGCAATATTAAGACCTTATGGCTTTCAGGAAACTCATTCAGATGATTGGGTACATACTTTGAGTGTATTAATTCATATATTTACCATCTTGTTATTAAAGGATCTTTTATGGACGCTGATACCACAATGGGATTACTTACACACTGCATCTACCAGGAACCTCCCACGTCCATGGCAGGTGCACAATCACTGCCTTTCACTGCACGATGGAGACGGGATATCTGGTACTAAAGCATCTCAGTGGAAGCACTATCAGTGTATGGTTTCAAAATTTGGAACAGAGAAATATAACTACATGCCAGAGACATTTATTTTACCAAGGTGAAAGCATAATTACAATCGCTACACTTAGCTCACTATGGTAATTGTGCTATTTCTAGAGATGTGGAACAATTAAAATCAGCACTGGAGTATGATGGAGTCCAAAGGCCATGGATACTAAAACCATCATCAGGGAAGAGAGCTATAGGTGTGAAAATATTAACAGACAAGTCACATTTACCAACAGACACTCAGCATTATGTAGCTCAGCGCTACATTACCAACCCTCTCTTAGTCAATGGTAGGAAGTTTCACATTCGTCTCTACCTCCTCATTACTAGCCTTCAACCACTGAGGGCCTACCTGCACAAAGAGGGGCTTGTTCTTTTTGCTATATCTAATTACACTAGCAATCATAACTCACTCAAGGACTTGAGCATACACTTAACTAATGCAGCAGTTGCTGATAGAGAAAAAAGAGAGAGTGTTACCAATTCAATGCTTTTGACAGAGCTATGGAAAGTTTTGGAACTTAAAGTTAACATCAGTTATGTAAAAGAAGAAATAAAATCAGTAATGTCTAAGCTGGTATTAAGTCAAGGATGTGGTGGTGTTTTGGAGACAAGAAGTCCTGGTACTTGTTTTGACTTAATTGGAGTTGATGTTATGCTTGACTCTAATTACAAGGTTTATCTACTTGAGAGTAATAATGGGCCAGAGCTGTATACTAGCAGAGACAAAACTGAAACTAAAAAAGTAAGAATGTAAGGCAAAACTAAACTAGTGATACTTCAAAGCAACTTAAAACAACAATACTTTTTTGTTTCTTTCTCTTCCCTTTTTTATCAATCTTTCCCCCTCTAGGCTAACGATTTAGCTCACAAAGCAGTTCTTCATGATATGATACCATTAGTTACCAGAGTTGGACACAATGCATTACCAAAATCATATGACTTCCATAAAAGGTTACAGTATCTATAATGGTGATACACACATATAATGTATACATAGGTTGGTAGAGTACATGAATAGAAGTAATAGACATTTTTGTGGGGAGCAAGCTGGATTTGGTGGAAACTGCATACAAATAGAAGAGATTACAATGTTGTGGCTACAGTTTTATGAAGTAAACACCATTCATGTCTTGCACTACCGATATAACTGCTATTTATACTGCCGTAGATGTTAAATAAAGGAAATTTTGAGTTACTCCTTACGGATCTATAGAGTTACAATTATATCAAACAGGCTTAGACATTGTCAGCTGATATAGTGAAACTGTTTTTTCTGGTGGCTGTTGCAACATATCAAACCTTTTTTGTTGTTTATTTTAGAATTTTATGAATACTTCTTTTGGGGCTTGCTGCTTGGGTGGCAAGTTCATCATTATGATTCTCCTGCTGTGTATTCTTCTTCATAGTGTATCATCTCTTAATATCAGGATTGATGGAGATCATGGAAATGATTCAATTCAGTGTCTTATAGAACAGCCTCAGTCTTCCTGTCAGTCATTGGAGTATGTAGCTGATACTATTAACAACACTGGTAACCTCACAATAGAGATCATCAGTCCTACTCTTAGTCTAAAAGGTAGTGTTATATTCACTGATATCAATGGACTAACTATCAATGGACAAGGTACTAGCATTAGCTGTAGCAATGGATTAATGCTCTATGGTAATTCTGGTATAGTTTTTGATACATGCAGTAATGTTACACTCAATAGTTTTACTATTGAGCAATGTGGGTTGCTCTATGAAAAAGAACAATACTGCAAAGTGCAAGCTATATTCTTGTATAATTGCAATAATATTGTTGTTATGCAAGTCAACTTTATCAACAACATTTGCATTGCACTAGTAGTGTATGATATTGAAGGCATTTTTACCATGGACAGATGTTCGTTTGTAAACAACAGTTACTATTCCAACCATTTTGAGAAGCAACAGTCGACTGTATCATCACAAAAGAGGAGAAAATGTCCATCAAATTTGTTTGGAGGAGCTTTGCATTTATACCAACAAAAGATTCATGCATTTGCATTTGTTTCTAGCAGTAAATTTATTAATAATTCTGCTAGTGGTATAGGTGGGGCACTATATGCTAACATAAGTGATACATCAGGATTTTATTTTTTAATTTCTTCTTGTCGTTTTAGTAGTAATATGGCTGATATTAGTGGAGGGGCCATTGCTATAACTGCTTTTAGTGGTGATCCTTTTGTAGCAAACAAATCTGGCTATCAGATTAATGTTTTGGGTTGTGATATTATTCAAAATATGGCACAATTTGGTGGTGGAGCAGCTATTACAATTTCTCATCAAAATTCTTTTTCCAAAAATAACCAGATTTGTTATTTTTGGTTTCGACTTTGCAATTTTTATAACAACAAAGCTAAATATAGTTCAGCATTAGATATCAATGGTAACAGTCAAAGGCTGTATCAATCAGTTTTTACTACTGTACGACTTCACAACTGCAAATTTATAGGTAATGTAGCAGGAATAGATATGAAACACACTGATCATGTCTATAAAGGCAAATCATTCAAGGCAACCATATTTGCTATTAATGCTCTTCTTGAATTTCTAGCACATGTTATACTTACTGATAACATTGGGACTCCTTTGTGTATTCATGATTCTCGAATGCATTTTGGTTTGCGGTCAAATATTAAGTTTATCAACAATACCGGGGAAAATGGTGGAGCTATCCAGCTAACAGGTAATGCAGTCATTGATCTATTCTCCAATTCTACTGTATTCTTCCAGAATAATACTGCAGTATTTGGTGGTGCAATTTGTTCCAGACCAACAGTTATTGTACAGTATAAAGGAACGTGTTTTCTACAAAAATATAGTGGCCCTGCTTCCATTCAGTTTATTAATAACACTGCCATTAGTGGATTTGGCCATGATATTTTTGCTTCTACACTTGAGCCTTGTGTTCAGTTGTATGGTGGGAATGCTTCAATATTATTTACATCTGGGAAAATAAGTAACTTTAAGTTCTCAACTTTGACACCACCTCCAGTTGCTACTGCACCAGTTACACTGTTAATAAATGAGAAAGAACTAGTTCCATATCCTGGAATACCATACAATTTGACTATAACGCAAAAAGATGAACTTGATAGTAATATAACAAACTTGCAGTTGTTTCCATTGTTTGCAGAACTACAAAATGAGCACGATTCATTATTGAAGATTGTTCTAACTCACTCCATTGCTAACAATTACATAATAGTCTTTAAAGGAACAGTAGGAGATAAAGCTACTCTATTACTACAGACAACTGAGTACAGTGCTAGATTATTCATTAACATCACTCTATACCAATGCCCTCCTGGAT